GGTGTGAAGGGCATTGCTTAGTATGCCAAGGAGTAGAGTGATTAGAAGGGAGGGATTGGGAACACTGGATTATTTATTGAGTGCTGCTTATGTGTGAGGCATTGTGCTAAATGTTTTCTACATGTTTTATCCTAATAACTATACAAGAGAGAAATTATTGTTGCTTCATATGGCAATGGCTGAATTGCTCACCAAATATTAATATACTCCACTAGCCTCCCTTTCAGTGGAGTTGGGCTATAAGACTGAGTTTTGGCCAGTGGATATGGGCTAAAAATATGTAAGCTATTTCCTGTACTAATGGGATCCTTCAGGCTTCTCTTTCCCTCTGTGTCATCTTGGAGGCCACCTGTTCCATTGATAGTATGTACAAGATGGGGTAAGATATCCTCATCCATCATGTGTACAATATGAGCAAGAAATAAACTTTGTGTTCAATCCCCAAGATTAGAGAGTTAATTTGTTACCACAGGATAGGCTATGCCAGTGGTTGCCAAATTACAGCCAGTGGGTCAAAAATGACCTGCCACCTGTTTTTGTAAACAAAGTTTGATTGGAACACAGCGCCACCCAAACATTCACATCATGTCCCTATGATTACTTTCATGCTACAATTGCAGACTTAAATAGTTGCTACAGAGACGTCGTGGCCTGCAAAACCGAAATATTTGTTACTTGGCCTTTTACCAAAACAAAACAAAAACTTTGCTGACCCCTTCCTACTTCATGAGTAAGGAAGGGGAAAAACGCTCATCGGTAGTGTTGCTGGGATTTGAATCCAGTTGTGTTTTTGATGCTATTCTTTGTTTCTTGCTTTTATTGCCACTGGTTCTTTGACCTCCATTTGATACTGTACTTCAGCTACTATAGTTCTCCTGTTCATTTACTCACACCACACACCATGTGGATGGACCACCCATTCTGCAATCATTTTTCTTCCTCAATATTGGCATGTCTTTGGGTAATAACTTATATTACTTGTCCCCTAATACCTAACTTCTCCAGCTAGTTTCACCTTAGCCCTAAGGGACTGGAAATGAGCAAAGGAAGAATCAAATATAACTTTAAAGACTTATTTTGTACTACTGGATGGATGCAGGGATGGGATAAGGATTGGAATGGGAGAGAGGTTTAATTCTAGGCATGTTGAGTTTAAGGTTTCCTTGGGAAAATCCAGGTGGAAGTTAAAGAGGCAGGTAGGGAGACAGGCATGAAGCTCAGAAAAGAGATCTGGATTAAAGATATAGTAGAATAAAACATACTGGATCATGCATCCTCTCTCTCATAAATCTTGCTGTGATTAGTGATAGAGCTGTAAGGTGACTGAGGCCAGGGCTCAGTCTGAAGGCCGGTTTGTATTCATTCTATGATTACATTAAAAAAGTGAATGGACACACCTGGGATAATATCTGTGACCTTGATCCTGTAAGCAACAGACCTATTTTTCCCTCTAACACACTATGCTGTCTCTTCATGGCAGGACCAGACTGCTTCATGTTTCCAGGTCATATGGGACTCTATTTGGGACTGGGGAGCTTCCTCTCAGAAAGATAACCAAAGCCTTTACTGTCTCTACCAAGATTTCACAGGAACCAGTAGCAGGCTTAGTATCTCAAGGCCTTTATTTTTTCCCTGAGAGAAACAATGGTATGAATTATTCAGTATGCCACAGGAAGGCCATAAATTATTTGAGCATTGCACAGTTTAACTGTAGTTGAATGTAGGATTGCTAATGCAGTACAGTGATTAATCCTCAAGATGTGCAAAACATCTTGTCCCTCTTCCTCTCAGGAGGGGCTGTGGGCCATGTACCTGAGTTCAAGCTTAATTCCTGTCAGACATATTTGATTTTCTCACTACGGTCTTCATAAAAATCCCATCTAGGGAATGAAGAACAACAATAACAAAAAACCCAAATAAAATATTCAAAATCCAATGATGACAACACGATGTGGGTTGTTTTGTTTAGTTGGTTGGTTTGGTTTTGTTTGCTTCATAGTTTGCTCCCTCTCACGGCCCTTCCACATTGTCATTCATGGCAAATAGATGATCTGAGGAAAAATACGTGTCCGATAGATGGACTTGTTTGGAGGCATCTCCTTTAGAACCCATAAGGTGCACCAGAATCTGCTTCATGGGCCTGGGTCTTACACTGTCCAACAGGGCTTTATGCTCAGAAGAATCCCACTGTTGGCTTAATGCTCTGCTGTCTTGAGATTCTTGATAACTTTTGAACCAGGGTCTCACATTTTAATTTTGCCATGGGGACCCACAAATTACGTGGCTGTTTTGTCTTACGCTTGACTTTGGTTTCCTACTGTCTGACCTTGGCCATACCTGAGCTCTTTTAAGTGTACTCAGGCCCCAAATGCCGTGAAGATACTTGAAGAAATGTTGTGCTTCAGTGTGTATTATAATAAGCGGAGTTCTGTTGTTAATAGGCTCATTGTAGATATCTGGCCTGTTTCTGAATTTTCCTATTTTGAACCATGGCAAGATGGTGCTTGGCTGATTTCTGAGACTTTGGTAGGGCATAGCAGCAAAGGGAAGGTTGCCCAAACCTGGATGGATATCCGTGTGTGCATAGGTGTTCAGTCCCTCTCAATAATATGGACCACAGAGAGGCCAGAGATTCTGTATAGATGGCTGGTTGCTGCTGAACTTATTTAAAGCCACACTGCTGAGTGTGTCTTCTTACCTTTAGTCTCTTTTGGACATTCCTGAGTGATTCCTCTCGCTCTCTCCCACCTGTAGGCACTATTACCTCCTTTGTAGGAAGGTTTGCAGTTAAGAATAAAAGATGCAACGTGGAAGCCTTTGAAAGAATTCAAGCCCATGTGTTTTGCATCACTCTGGATTTGCATGCTGCATCCATGAAAGACCCTCCTGTATTATTTCAGCTTCCAGGTATCTGTGTAAATGTATGATTCCTACTTGACCATCCAAACCATATGCCCCAAAAGCCTAGTGCCACTGGGGCCCTAAAGGAACTCTGTTTGTCACTGAATTTTCTCTACCTTTGGCTCCTTTTCTGAATTCCATTTCCTTTTTCCCTCTTAGTGACCTTTTTGTAACCTTCTTTTGATGTCACAGATAGCCAAATTCTAGATATGGGACAAGCTAATGGTGGAGATATTCACTGTGACTTGGCAAACTTTCTCCTTGTCGGTTGGTGACTCAGGCAGGAGGGACAGGAAATGTGCTGTCAGTGGCAGAATCGCTCCCTGAAATAAGGCATTAGTTTGAATCCCAAATTAAAATGTAAAAGGGATGGGGAGGAGGAGGAGGCCCATCCATACCCTCAGTCTTTATTCACCTGGTTAATGACTCAGGCTGTTCATTAGGCACCAAAGAAACAAGCTTTATCGCTTCCCCAGCTTCAAAAACTGAAACGCCTGCATTCAAATTACACCAACATGCTCCAAAGCCTCGTTAATTGAAAGTATGTGATGGGATCTAATGTAACATTTATCTTGCTGCAATTGACATGAGAGGCAGAGGTGAGGGGTTTAAGGAGTATTTTATTTAAAGACAGACTTGAACAGGCTGTGGGAGTGATTGCCAGCTTATCAGGTGACTCACTGACACCTGGAGAGAACTTTGTGTCATTAGCCAGACTGAATCCCAAATATGGCCCAGGACAATATACTGAAGACTTTGGGCCTCCTTTATCCCCACCTCCCTACCCTACACCCTTTCTTCCTGGCAGTTTTTATCTCCACTAATAAATAAAAATTAGTACTCGGCACATACTGGAAACATTGACTACAAAACTGATCCAATACAAGGCCTGCACGGGGGCGTGTATATCAACAGACATGCCTTTCCATCCCACATACAAGTAATGCATTTGGGTTTTCAGGAATCGGTGGGTTTGGGGGTGCAAAGCATTGGAATTAAAAAAGAAGCCACCAGGAATGTAGGGGAAGCATCCTGTTTAGCTTGCTGGATTTACCCATGCATAGCTCACTGTCTTGGGAAAAATAATTTTGTACAGCAACCTCATCTTTAAATGGGAGAGGATATCCTACTTATTGCCAAGAGAGGCTCTAGGGGGGACTGGTGGGGTCATCTGTGGTACAGAAAGGATTTGGGGAAATCCTTTCAAGTTAATTCTACTTACGGGTAGGTGTATACACAGAAGTCTCTTCATATATCCCAGCTATTGTGAAAGGATATGGCATCATTATACATTAGAGCACAGTAATTTCTTAAGTGGGTTTGGCCATGGAGGGAAGGGAATGAGGGGCTAGTGCATGCATGGGAAAAACCCATGTTCTGTTTCTGTCATGGGCCCCCAAAACAGATTTCTATCTTCTTTTTTTTTTTTTTTTGAGAGAGAGAGTGTGTGTGCACGTGTGTGCACACATGCATACATGAGTAGGGGAAGGGCAGAAGGAGAGAGAGAGAGAGAGAGAGAGAATCTTAAGCAGGTTCCATGCCCAGCGTGCAGCCCGAGGCAAGGCTCAGTCTCCCAGCTATGAGAAAATGACCTGAGCTGAAATCAAGAGTCAAACGCTTAACCCACTGAGCCACCCAGGTGCTCCCATCCTGTCTTCTAAGTAGCAGAACTTTAGATAATAGTCAGTATCTATAAATAATCTCTGTGATTATCAGAAGTCCCCTACCACACTTGCTTACTTCTTGAGCTAAGAATTGGGAAAAAAACCCCTATTATGCCATTCATTTTCTGGATCATGTACAGTACTTCCCTCTTACCCACAGGGGATACATTCTGAGACCTCCAGTGGATGCCTGATACTGTGGGTAGGACCGAACCCTATTATACTGTTTTTTCCTTACACATACATACCTTGGATAAAGTTTAATTTATAAATTAGGCACAGTAAAAGATTAAGAACAATAACTAGTAATGGATAGAATAATTATAACAATATACTGTAATAAAAGTTATGTGAATGTGGTCTCTTTCTCTCAAAATCTTATTGTACTGCACTCACCTTTCTTCTTGGGATGATGTGAAATAATAAAATGCCTACCTGATGAGGTGAAGTGAGGTGAATGATGTAAGCAGGATGATGTAGTTTTCGGGTACTATCGACTTTCCGACCATATGTCAGTAGGAGGATCATCTGCTTCCAGACTGTGGTTGACAGCCGGTAACTGAAACAGTATAAAGCAAAACCAAGGATAAGTGGGAGACTACTGTGCAGAGATTGAAAACAGTCCCAGTGTGGTCGATTTGTAAATTCTGTCACCGTCTAGGTTAGGATTTTCCTTCTTTCTCATTTCCCAAATCCTATCGGTTTCTTCAGGTTTGCTCACATTTGCTCACCATGGATTTTTTTTAAGTTTCTACTTTGAAATAATTATAGATTTGTAGGAATTTGCAAAACAAAATGTACAGAGAGGTCACATGTACTTTTCATCCAGTTTCCCCCAAATGTAGATCAAGTTTGTCCTGCTGTTAGTCATATTTATTTGATACAAGGCCTCTTGACTGCCTCATTCCCCTAACACACCCTGCACAGGGCATTTGGGAACACTTACATGACACAGGGCATCCCAAGATATTAGTGTATAAGTAACTGGCTAATATTTCATTAATATTACCCACCATATATCTTTAAAGTATCTTATGACTTCGGTTCATGAAGAACAACACAGAAAAATGGAAGAGCTACCTTGAAAGGTGAGCATTTTCAAAGATGATTATGTTCCATGAAATCTTAACTTATACCTCATGTGAGTGGCTTACACATCATTGTGACTTATGTAAGGCATAACCGAAATAAGTTTTGAAACTCAGGGTGATACAGGCTCTTAAGGTAGGAAATCCTATTAATGTACCCTCCCACCTTTATGTAATACAAAATTCCTTTTCTTGGTAACAGTCTTAGCCTTCTCCAATTTCTTATTTATGTTTGTGCATCTCTCCTCTAATTCCATATTGTGGAGTTTGACAGTCAAGGTCATTCTCCCTATCTCCTTTAATGAATATAGGACTATCCACCACTTCACTCTCTCAGTCCTTGTTTTTCTAGATTAGAGGGTTCACCTTATTAACCAGCCTTGGTGAATAGGCTCCTTCTTGGTCAACTTAGATATATTTCTCTAGGCCTACTCCAACCAATTTATAACCACCCCTGCTTCCAAAAAAGAAATAGATGTATTGTACATTTGCTCCTTGGCTCCAAATCTGTGAGTGAAGAAATGTTCTGAATATGAGCAGAAGTATGTGTGGTGTGTGTGTGTGTGTGTGTGTGTGTGTGCTCACGCGCATGCACGTGCACATGTATATGTATGTGGGAGGTAGTTAGGGTGGTGGGGGACTTAATTTAATGTCACCATTTAAATAAAACATTCTGGTGACTCAGGGGAAAATACAAAAAAGTAGAAAAATTGCTTTGGATTCTCTGCTATTCTGCTGAAAATAATACTATTTCATTGGAATTATTCAAATACCTTAAAAAATTTTCACTGTACATATTTAATTTTCACTCATGCATTTGAAGGTGTGCATACATTTGTATTCATGACAAATTAGGAGGCTTTGCATGAGTGCACACATATACATGGGTGAGTCAGTCATTCAGTGGTAGGCATTACTTCCTGTGGTTCCATAATATCAAATACTGAGGAGATAAGGTAGGAATATGCAAAACAATATTTTCTCTTGAAATTTACCATAGATATGCCTGCAAGAAAAAAAAAAGAGGAAAAACACTATTTGCTATTTCATTGAGATTTCAGGCTTAATTAGACTTTGTTAAAAGCTTTTTAAAAAATGTTTATTTATTTTTGAGAGAGAGACAGAGTATAAGCGGGGGAGGGACAGAGAGAGAGAGAGGGAGACACAGAATTGGAAGCAGGCTCCAGGCTCCGAGCTGTCAGCACAGAGCTCCACGTGGGGGCTCAAACCCATGAACTGCAAGATCATGACCTGAGCTGAAGACAGATGCTTAACTGACTGAGCCACCCAGGTGCCCCCTTTTAAAGCTTTGAATAAAAATAAAAATAAAATAGGAAAGAAAAGAATTCATTAATGAACCTGGTTAGGCAGCAAATATGAAGATCTCTCACCCCCTTTTAACTTCCCTTTATTAGTACGTGTTCCTGAACCATCTCCATCCACCTCTGTAGTTTTCAAGGTTGAGTGTTAGGGAGATTCCCTGCACACTCACCTGCGGCAGTGTTTCTCCTGTGAATAGCTGTCTTCTCATCAAGAATGAAAAATAATAAATTGGAGGCCTGGGCTTTAAATTTGGAACTTTTTTTTTCCCACCAGGCAAACATTGGATAAATAAGAACTCCTAGGACGCTCTAGAGGTCTTAAAAATTTACCTTCCTGCTCCTTCACATCCAAATCTCCAGCCCTCAGACATAATCACTCTCACCCCACCTTGGTTCTCTTTCTTTCCTCTTTCTTTCTCTCTTTTCCAGTCTCCTGACTATGGCTAATAAGAGAAATGACTACAAACATTTTTTTGATTCCTTTGGTGTCTCCAAAGAACTAATTGTGTCTTGGCAAAAATCATGTCAGGAAGAATCTGGAGACTCCCTGAAAGAAAAGTTTAGGGCTCTGATTCAATATATGGCAGATCGTTAACTTTCTGGAAAACTGGCTAATGAGTTTAACCATAATGCTATTGAGACTAACAGGATTGGAGATATTTTACATTGTAAGAGACCCTAGACACTGATTAGTCACTGCATCATAGACTCCCAGAGCAGGAGTCTTAAATGTTACCTAGTCCATTTTGCCCAACGGATGTTTAAATTCCTCTATAACTTCCCAACCAAGAGGTTACCAAACTCTTGTGTAAATACCTTTAGTGATAAGGCACTCATTACTTAATGAAGTTGTCTATACCTTCTCTGGATTGCCCTTGCTTATTCTTATAAAATTTTGCTCATACTGATCCAAAATCTGTAGATTCTCTCTGTTATTTCTAGTTCTACCCTCTTGACGATACGCAGAACACACTGTTCTCTCATCTTCATGATGGCCCTTCAACGATTTGATGACAACTTCCATCTTTTTCTTGGGTCACATCTTCTTTAGACTTTATGTTTCTTATATGGCATTGGTTTATGTCTCTCTGATACTTGTGGTTATTCCCTTTTGAAAGCACAGGGCCTGGTATTCCATTATATATAAAGTGGAAGGTAAAGGTACCACCCAAACTGTAAAGGTTAAGAAAATAAATTTAAGTACAGTATACACAGTTACCTCTAAAAATAAAAACGTGAATAGCAGGGTTTGGGGGGATGATTAGGGAAGAAGTGGGAGAGGAGAATGAACTCACTCTTTATTGGCAGGAAGCTACTATGTTATTTTAAAAGTTTATAAATCCAGAAGATGTATAAGTACATGTTTTGTGCTGTGGTTACAACCAGCAGGAAACTTCTAAAGAGAAATAATGAAGAGTAGTTGACTGCTCTGAGACTGAGACGAGGGATAAAGAGGGAGAGCTCTTTTCTCCTTTTGTGCTCTTCTGGATTGTTTGAATCTTTATCATTAAGGGCATATACACTTCCACGATGCCTTATATGTAATTCAGAAGCCCAGAAAACTCTGAGAGAGAAAAGCTTTTTCATATCATTTGGCCATTAAGCTTCGCTTAATCTGAATAACTTGGTAATTATTCAGAAAACCTGAACTGATGTAGAGCTGTTTATAATCTTCGTTATTGCAATATTGTATGTATATTCATTGATTTTGTTCCAAAAATATTAATGTGTTTGATTTGGGGGTGCTATTCCAGACCCTACTGGGCATGCTAAATAATATACAGCGTATAGCACTGTATTATCTTTTTAAATCCTGAAAATTTTCGAGTTTTTGAAACATATCTGGCTGTAAGTATTTTAGATATGGTATTGTAAGCTTATAATACTTTATTGTAATAATAAAAAAGAATGGCAAAGCCCAGAAACCGTAGATAATACTTGAGCATGTTCTGATCACAGCGCGGCCCAATTAGTCACCTCCCCCAGTCTAGATATTATACTTTTAGTAACACAACCTAAGAATAACCACTTTACTTGTTTCGGTGTTTGTATCACATTTACTGAATCATTCTGAGCTTACTGTCTATTAAATCCTGAAGTCTCCTTTACAAGAGCTATTCTTGCTAAGCCATGTTCCCAAAAGTAATATAGAAGATGAACATGTATTCACTACAGGGCTGTTATAAATAACAAGCTCCCTGATGCATTTAAAATATCATTCAATATACCAAGATATGATATCCATACAAGTTTTCAATAATATGGTTACTGCACTGTTACTACCTCAATATAGTGCATTATGCATAGTGCATTATCAAATTAAATATACTTGATTTTGAATCCTGAATCTGGTATTTCCTAGGTATGTGACTTTGGGAAAGTCATTAACTACTCTGAGCTCATTTTGCCTATAAGATAGGCTTTATAATTCTAAGCATAACATAAAGAGTTCTGTATTCTCAGCCAGGAATAGATGCACAAAAAAAATATGTATTACTATTATTCTAAATAATAGTAGCAACATAAAACAGTGGTTCCCAAATTTTGTTTCCCATGAGAATCATAGGGGGAGCTTTTAAAATTCGTGATGCCCAAGTTGTATCCCAAATTAATTAATTAAATTAATTAGAATACCTCAGAATAGCCTGAGATAGAAGCTAGGTGATTCCAATGTGTAGCAAAGTTTGGGAAGCACTGACCTAAAGTAAAAAATGTGTGTTTTTTTTTTTAAATTTAATGCTTATTTTTGAGAGAGGGAGAGAGAGAGAGAGCCAGAGCATGAGCTGGGGAAGGGCAGAGAGAGAGGGAGACACAGAATCCAAAGCAGGCTCCAGGCTCTGTAGGCTCTGAGCTGTCAGCACAGAGCCCGATGCGGGGCTTGAACCCATGAAACGCGAGATCATGACCTGAGCCGAAGTCGGACCCTTAACCGACCCTTAACCCAGGTGCCCCTAAAGTAAAAAATCTTAATACTTGCCACCAGAAGATGGACTTGTCGTTGGCATATTAATTTACTTGCATCTGAAGCTACTAGACTCTCTTAATAGCTTTTCCCAATCCCAGTAGAGCAAGTTTTTGTTTGTTGTATACTTACATGTTTTTGGAAATTCATTTAGTCTCGGGAAGCTGATCCTTGCAAAAATGGTGAG